TTTATATTTCTATAATCTAAATGTTCCTACCTAGCCAATTGTGTATATCAAAATTACCGGAATGTTTTCTTAGAAAATCAAGCCAATATCTATAAAAAAAAAAAATGCCCGTTTTCAATAACAATAGCTAGAATGGAGGCAAAAATACATGTGAAGGATTATGGATATGTTTTTGAGAATTAGAAAATACAAATAATGGAATAAAAATGTTCTCAAAGACTATCATACAAATTAATCTTACACAAAACAAAAAATCATGGAACATATTCCTTTTAATTAGAACAATTAACAAGAAATTGAATTAGAATATGGAGGAGAACTTTGAGGTTGAAATTTGATGAGTTCTTATTAAAATTTTGGTTGTCCTAAAATTTTGTGGGGGATCAAGAAGATTAGGCAGCTAATTGTGCAAATGTATTTAAATTACAATGTTTCAATGATAGGTGCATCATCTATTTTTGGATCCATTATTTTTGGGGATTGATTACTATATATGGTGGATGTCTTGGAATCTCATTTGATATTGTTGCCTATAACCAAATGATTTTTTTCCTAAATTTTCTGATTTTTTTTTTATATCCAATATGATACATTGTGGTTATTGGTTGCTAAAAATAATTGTATGATTTGTTTCCTAAATTTGCTGATTATTTCTTATTTATACTTGGGGTAATAATTTTATTCCCTCCATTATTTTTTTTAACTTTTTGCATTTGGTCCACAATATACAAGTTTGACCATTAATATCTACTCCCTCTGTCCCTTATTTTTTATCCCATTTGACTTTTCACGGTCTCCAAGACGCGTTTTCAAATGTATATATCTCCATTTATATATGCTTAAAAATTATAAAAATTTGATATGAATAAACTATACAATGAGACGATTCTAACAAGATCACACATAATATATTATCATTTATAGATTAACTTTATGGTCAAAGTTTTAAAAGTTTGACCCATATTTTTGCAATGGGGCAAAAAATAAGGGATAGAGGGAGTACATCTCTAGTATTTATGAAACTTTGATACTATGAAAATACAAGTTGCAACATACGGAGTATTAACAATATCATACATGTCTTTTTTCTTTATACTCCTTCCGTACCCTTTTTTTTTTATCTTCCCATTTACTGTTCATATAAAATGAAGTAGTAAGTGAAAATTAGATCCTATTTTTACTTTTTAGTATTAGAGAGAAAATTGTTTAGAAACATTGATATTACTAATTACTCCATAGTTTTATGTAGACCATGTGATGGGGTAATTTTCTTAACATAAAAGGAATAATAAATCAAAAGTGGAAAGATAAAAAAGAACATATCAAATCGAAAAGTAGGAAGGTTGTAAAAAAAATTATTATCACCGCGCATCGCACGGACACTAATCTAGTATGACCCAATAATAGGGTCCGATAAGGTATAACAAGTCAAGGTTTGATAAGTTCGGATAAAATAACTTATAAAAACTTTTTGTGTAAATTGAAATTGGATATCCCTTTTGACCCTCATCACAACTTATTCTATCATCTTATTTTATCTGAACTTATCATGTTTTTTTTTTGGTAAATTAAGTGAAAATAATATGAACAATATAATATAGAGCCTAAAATCAATTTCTGTTATTTTGTAAATCATAAAATCAATTTTGGATCCCCCAACCTTGTAGATTCCAACACAATATAAACACAAGACATCCCATTCATATAAATTACTGCACCAGTGTACCACATCTTACGCAATGTATGCAGCATCTTAAGATTGCAGCCAATGCGCACTCGTCACAATGTTAAATTCTCAACGTTGGTAAAATATGAAGTACAATATAGTCTAACATTTACTTATAATATTCTTGTAATTTGAATATAAAATGTGTTCGTGCATAATTCTGCATTCATATCAATGTGATAAAAATCAACTGATTCAACCTTTACAAGCAGAATAACATTAACTAACTGTACACATTGTCTATGGAACACATTCAATAGAGTACTTGATTTCTGATATTACAGGCTCAAATTTTGTACCAAAGAAACTAAGCTGACCAAAGAGTTAAGGGTTGTATGCTTAAAAGTGGTACAAAATTTGACTTTTAAGGATAGCATACTGAAATTGTTACTTGTAACTATGAGAAACTCATATTTATAATTATAATTCAATAAAGTTGTCGAATCGGTCTATGATTGGTTTCCGGTCAGTTTGTCAAATTATTATTTATATAGGTTCACTGTAGAGCTGATCAAACTCAACCCGATCCGCTAGCCTAATCCAACCCAGCCCAAATTTGCGCAGCTTTTGGGCAGATTTTTCGGCCCAAGTCTAGTGGGCCCAACGAGACTCGAATTTTTAATTTTGAGAGCAGACCCTTGGACATGCATTTTTAGTTAATTTTTTTAGCCCAACCCAGGCAAACGGCCGATTTTCCTCACTTAAGCCCGACCCGCCCTCCCTTTGATCACCTCTAGACTACTTCACTATGTCCATATGAATTGAATACTTTAATTTTTTTTGGTTGACTTTTAATTTTGTCATGTCAGTCCAATCAAGTCAACTTTAGACATGTCTAAATAGTTCATAGCTTCAAGTGACCACCCCCACCAAGTATGGCCTATGGGTTGATTTGAATTCAATTAGGTTGAGTATGTGTTAACAAAAAAAAAAAAAACCAACTTTGGCTATAATATTCTCCATCGGTTCAATCCTAAAGCTCACTAATAATCATATCATCCAATTTGAAGTACAATTCATGTCTAGATCGATCTCATTTTAATTTACATCTAATAAATTTTGCCCAGTCTAGGTTCGCCCATCATAAAAGCCAAGTCCCTAAAATATATGAGCTAATTCAAATCTGTCTTAGTATCATTTATCATATACCCTAACATGACAATAGCACAAATAAATCAAGAATCTACAAATGATGCCCACATTTCATGATGTACAAATCATCTCTGTTCTTAAAAACAATTCATTCCATAATATACAATCATAAAACCAGCTTTATAATGCCATTATTTGCAATCAATGTGAAGAGACAATGCAGATGCCAAATGGCAAATATGATGAACTCACATGAAACCCAATCAAATAAAGGTGATGAATGTACTACTTAAAGCATACAACATCTTAAAATCACAGGCATTTTGTCAGTCAAAAAACAAAATATACTTGTATTAATATTAATTTATTAACATCGGCAAAATACGTGGAAGAAAATGCTCTTAAACTAGAAGCATCACAGCACTCTGAAACTGGAATTATAATTATTAAGCAATGATTGTTACAGATCTACAGCTTTGCCACCACTCAATCATTGCTTTCTTAATACAGTTTGTTTGAACTAGTTTTCGTTGTGTTAATGAATGCAACTAGTAATTTCTGGGAAATTGCGTAAGATCGCATTATAGCACAATTTCAGAAGGAATCGCTTTCACACAGCAGTAAGCACATTTCAAGTGCTATATTTTGATTGTTAAAATAACTAACCAGTTATACTAATACTAGCAATATGACCGCGACCTTTGTAACATAACAATCACGACGAAAAATACAAACCTAATCCCCCTCCCTTACCCTCTCAAGGCCTCAATGACTCGAATGCAAGGAGTAAAAGGTTGCGGGATCAAATTCTCATTCACAATACTAGTTTAAGCCCTCAGATGTCTCATAGTATGACCAAATTCATCTCACTAGAGACAAACTTATGAAACGTTAATATATTTGACTAATCACATGATAAATTAAAACTGTCACAACCTCACATGAAAACATAATCAGCCAGGTTGACAAAACCCAACTTCACCTAAAACAAACATGATGAAAATTACAGTGCTGGACCACTCAATAAATATAAAGAATCCTATTCATAAAAAAAAGGGTATGTTTTTATAAAGACACAAAATGGAAAGTTTGATAAACAACCAATTCCAACCCCCACCGGCCACCCCTACACCCCAACCAAACCTTTTGCTTTCATATCCAGCTATTCAATGTCCTCAAGAGACCATCTTAGGTCTTTAATGTGATAGTTACCAATATATCGGTATTCGGTAATCAATATCAACTACAGAAAAGGAAAAGAATGAAGGCAAAATTCTCCATGTAGGGAAGGCTAGAGAAGCATACAAATAAATTCTCAGCATAGGTACATGGAAATGTTCCGAGGCCCGACAAACTGTTTCTTGATTAACCCCTTAAAACTCATCATTTCACGGTCTTGTTAGTACATTACCAATCATCAAGGGTTCCTAATTCCTTGGCAGGTCGTTTTCGATCCATCTACGTAGGGGGGAAAAATGATGTATAAAGGGGAAAAATTTGAGAAACAATGGGCGGGCTGCAGTCAGCACATGGAGATTTCATACGAGCTCCTATCAGTCTATTTCACTGTCGCGTCAATCACAGCCATACTGCTAATTAAAAGAACATGCCAAATCAGTTATGGCCTATCAATGCACCAAAATGTCACAATTGTAGTGCAATTAGACCATTCTTAAAACCAACTAAATGTGGCTAATTTCGATGCAATGAAGCAAACAGTGAGAAGGATTCTCCCTCCAACAGAATAAAGCATTGGCAATCAATTTCAACAAAGTTCCATGCATATTTGTTCCCCCTTATCATAACTTTACTCATTGCCTTCCCTTTGTCTTCTTTTATTGCGGGAGGAGAAGAACGAGGGAATATGGGCGGGGGTCAACAAAAGCGGTTCAACATGAACCATTCATTGCTAAATAACACTAGTAAGCATCAAAATTTCTATCAAGATGACAATGCAGCTTATAATATTGGGTTAGAAGCACTTTCGTCCAGCAAACGTACCACAAATTGCTGCGGGGAGCAAAATTTGGCACCATAACAGCATATAAACAAAGGAGACCATAGGAAAATGCACTATCATGCCAATCCAGATGTGGTACGAAAACAACACTCAGCAACGAAAAACTAACAGCAAACATATGGTTCAGAGATCCATTATCGAAACCAATTAAGAGTTTTCATCTTAGATACATAATCAAAGTATTATTTGCCAAGATATAGTCAGGATTCCTCAGGCATAAGGATATATCAACTACATTTTAACAGAAACAATTAAATCAAAGAATATGGTATAACTGAATTAAGTGTAATTTTCATTTGCAAGTAAAGATCCTAAGACAACTTCTATGACTGAGAATTAATTGTGAAAATAAGAACATGAACAGCATTGTTGGTAGACAGAGCTTTTAGACAAAATACAAGAAAAGCAATAAAGACATTCAAGAATGGTCTGTTACCAAAGATCACCACCATTGATGAACAAGAACACCACGCTCTCTGAGGGAAGTAAATAGGTCCAAGCACTGATCGTACGTCTTCTCATACTTGGCACTCCGTTCACCCGGGCAGCACCTCTGCCATCGATTGTAATGGCACTCCAGGAAGATCTCATCGATCAAGCAAATTGCCCCGGTCTCAAACAACCTAGGGATAAGATCAAATTCGGTCCCTTCAACATCCATCTTCATCACCACAAAGTCTCTCTGAGTCACAGTAGCCTTCAACCACTCAGCAAAATCGAACCCTGCAATCTGATCAACACCATGGGACACCCCATCATGCGATTGAACCGGCTTAATCCTTCCCATACCGCGCCCTTTACTCCCTTTCTCCTCAGGATCATCCCTGGGATCGTGATTAACCTCGAAAAACAAGGTCTCATTCTTAACCCAAGCAGCATAAGGCAACAGATTCACCCATTTCTTCTTAGCCTCATACTCTTTATGAAATGACTTATCAGCCTCAATGGCATAAACCTCGAACGTCTTATTCTGTTTCGGGTATTGCTTCTTAAACCAACTCCCAATACTCGAACCATAGCTCCTAGCTCCTACATCTACATATATATACCTACTCTTAAAACTAATATCCACCATTGAAGGCAAATACTTGACATTCTGTATATTCTTTTTCAGTGTAATCCAAGGTTTCAATGGCTCCACCGGTATCAATTCCTCGGCTTTTCGAACAATCTCCTGCTTAAACCCCGGCACAACCGAGCATTCCTTACTACCACCACTATACACAATTGAACCAAATTCTTCCTTCTTCATCACAACCTCACGAATCATAACACTACTAATATCATCAACATTATTATCATCACCAAAATAACCTTGAATTTCACGGGATTTAATAAATGTGCAACAATTGAATAAAGCAATTAAGGAATGTAAACTGTATGTATCATTTGTTCTTGTGTGGATTACCAAATACCCTTCGGGCTTCAGCGTCCGGCCGATTTCGACCGCGATTTCTTCGAATTTGCTCAAACTATCAATCCTTCCGCCACCGCCGTAGAACACGAAATCGAAGGTGTTATTCTCAAACGGTTGACGGCGGCCGGAGTTTTTCATCGCCACCACCAACGGCTTCGCCGCCGTCTTCGCCACCCCAACGGCGTCGGAAATTCCGAGCTCCTTTAATGCGAGCACCTCCTGCCCTAACGGCGTATCAACGCACAAAGACTTCGATTCAGGAGAGAGAAAACCTTCGGCAATCAGATCCTGGAACACCGAAGAGTAGTATTGAACGGATTTCCGCCAGTTTTTGCTGGTGTATAGGATGTTTTTCCGATCGACGGAAACAGCCTCGGTAGAAACGACGGCGGCGGATGATAAGGCGGCGATTGTCGTCGTTCCGGCGAAATTGAATGATTCCGGCATAGAAAAGAAGCAGAAATCGCCAACATCACAGGACTCACCTCGGATTGTGACAACGTAAGCAAATCGAAAGCAGAAAATGAAGACACAAAATACCAAAATCTTCACCAGAAAGTTTCGTACAAAGCTCGGCTTCGCCGGTAACTCCATTAACACAGCTTCAGCGCTGTGTGGAACCTTCTTCATATCAAATTTCCACAGAAAAAAATCCAAAAAAAATTGTATAAAATTCAAAAAAAAAAAAAAAACGGATGAATTCCTCGCTTTACAATTGCTGATTACAAAAAAATGGTGTTTAATTAACAGAAAAAAAAGAAATTTGAATTATTAGAGAGAAAAAGAAAAAAAAAAAGGTTAGCGAGAGCAGAATCTGGCGGAGGTATGGTTAGCACCGACGAGAGAAACGCGGGAAGACGGCGAAGAAAAGAGGGGATATACCGGGAAATCAGGGGTAAATCGGGAAATCATGGTGGTTTTACGCCGGAGTTTTTCTCTCTCTCATACGTAAAGAAACTGTATTGACATTTGATTTATTTTTTTATTTTTTTGTTTTTGGGAGAAAAAGAATAATGGAGTTGGTTAGCTTACTCTGGAAGTATGGAGTTGAGTGAGGAAGAAAAAATGGAGAGAGAAAGATAAAGAAGGGATTAAAAGGAGGAAAATGGAGGAGAGAGAAAAAGTGGCAGGATTACCGGAAGTTTCGGTGGTGACGCGTGATGAGTTGGAAACGTGAGAGCTTGATTTATTGCCCATTGAGGTTTTGTAAATTTACGGTTTTGACATTACTAGCCGGTAGTCGGTTACCAGCCGCGGCATCAACAAGGCGTGTTTGTGGATTAGTGTGTAGGGTAGCAAAACTGCGTATAAATGACTAAAATATTAAGGGGTTTTTTATTAAATTATTGGAAGCAAATCAATTAGTTTAAGAATGTGATTAAATTATTGGAAGGGTGTATTAGGGGTGTCCATAATTCGGATAAAAACCGAAATCCAATCCAATCCAAACCGAATTATCAATTCGGATCGGATCCGAACTTTAAATTGGATCGGATCGGATTGAGATTTTTTGGAAATTCGGATTTTCGGATTGGATCGGATTGACCCTAATTGGATCCAATCCAAACCGAAAACCGAATTGTAAAATTAAGCTTGTATAAATATGGATTTCTGTATATTTTGAAGTTTAGCTCAAATACTTAATACTACATAAAATAAATTAGAGAGACTTTGTATTAATTAATTAATGACTTGACGTTGAACTATGTATTTTAATCATGATTTTGAAGACTTTTATTTATAGTAAAGCTTTATTTTTATAATTGTATTAGGCGCTAAAAAAATAATGTATTATAATTTGGATTTTCGGATCGGATCCAAATAACCGAATTTTAATTCAGATTGGATCGGATTGGATCAAGAGAGAAATTCGGATCGGATCAGATTGGAAAATTGAAAACCGAATTATATTTCGGATTGGATCGGATTTGGACTAAATCCAAACCGAAAACCGAACGGACACCCCTAGGGTGTATTATTTGTTTATGATTTTGTTACATATTATTTATTGAAATATGAATCTGTATATAATTGAGTTGGTGATTACTTCTTTAAAATGGAGTGTTAATTAGGGTGATAAAATATTGGAACAAATCAAAAAATTTAGAATGTGATTAAATTATTGGAAGAGTGAACTTGTTGATGATTTTTTCACATATTTATGGATCAATTATTGGTAAAGATTGAATACATATATGGTAATATATATGAGTTGGTGATTCTTTCTTCAAATGAAGGGTTAGGGTGATGAATTATCCAATTTTTGTCAAAATACAAGTGAGTATAGTAAGGTGTAAAACAATGACATCAAATTAACAATTTTAATTGACGTATAACCAACTCATAAAACAAAACAAATTGCAAGTAGTAGTTAAATTCTAACAATAATTGGCAACTAATATAGCAACAAAAACATCAATGTCATCTACAATTGAATTTACCTATAAATTTTATTATTTGGAAACCAATGTGATCTATGTATGTAATTAGGTATCTTTTTTTAGGGAAGGTATCCTTTACTTGCAAGTATTGTTCCTTTACTTAATTAAGTAAATAGGAGTACTTAGTTCAATCATCTTTCCATTTAAGTATATTATATTGATGATAATATCTATCAGTATAATAGTACTCCACTATGACAATTGTCTACGCTTAATAAACGAGCCAAAGCTTGAAGCCTTGAACAAATATTTGGATGCTTGAGTGAGCTTGGCTAGAGCTTAAGCTCGGTTTTTCTTATCAATCTTAGTCATAACAAGTTAATACTTGACTTTTTTCTCTCGTTGATATCCCTATGTTGCTAGAGTAACTGCTTGTGTGTGCAAGTCTTTTTTTTTTTCAGTAGAAAAAGCCTACGAATGAAATCTTAAGCATGACCTTATAAGTTATACCTAGATACCGTATATATTACATTTACCCACCATCATCTAAGTGACCTAGGTCATGTATAATTCTAACAGTAATCAAGATGAAAGTGAGAAAAAGTATCAATGCAAGTAGTAGAACAAGTAACTACGTGTTTATTAATCACATGACATAATAAGTTTGCCTTTATTTTCTCTACTTTGGATTCAATGCTTGAGAGATTGTTGATACATATTATGATGATTTATAATTTTTTTTTATAGCTAACTCTTTGGACCATGCAATTAGAATCACTAGATCTTGAACAATATATATATATATATATATATATATATATATATATATATATATATATATATATATATATATATATATATATATATATATATATATATATTACTTTTAAGAGTTAAAGACTATATACAATGTGGTATGAGATATTTAAAAATGATATTCATTCAATCTTATACACTTTGTATCTTAAAAATAAATAAAAAAAAATTAAAACACTTCAGCAATTAATCACATATATAATTAGCCTAAAGTCGTTATGTATTAATTAATGGGATCGAAATCAAATATAAAATTGAGATCAAACCCTTTGAAACTTGGAAGTTGATGGAATTCATACGAAGTATATTTTAATTATAGTGTGATCAAAAGTCAAATTAAACATCTCCATGCAGCATCTTTGACCGACGATCTGATTAATGTAGCAATGTGAGTTATTTTATTTTGCAAGCAATTTTCATTTGCTAAAAGAGTATTGTTGCATCATATATTTTTTGCATTACAATAAATAGTAGGCACGTCATGTAATATCAATGTAATACGAAGTATGAATCATGTTGCATCTACTTGAGCTATAGCCTACATATAATACATGTATTTTAAGTTATTTAAAAAAAATACAAAAAGGTTAAAACAACAAGTCTCTTAAACTACTTGCACCCTCTAGGCCTCTAATTTATTTCATACCATTCTCTCAAATATAAAATTGTTGTTACAAACATCGAACACTTAGGGCTTGTTTAGTTCACCTTATTTTTGTTTATTTTTGTTTATATGAGGTCTGATCTAATTTGGTCTGATCTGATTGTCTGATTTGATTAAACTTTGACCTTAAGTGTACGATAATCTATAAGGAAAAAATAAATCAAGTATGGTCTTATAAGATTCGTAATAATGTGTAATTAATTAGCATGTAATTTTCATAATTTTTTCATTATGAAATTAAAGATAGTAAAACGAATTGATCTGAACTTATTTTTTCTGATCTGATCTGAACTTATTTTTTCTGAAATAAGTAAAGATAAGTTAAACTAAACAAGGCCTTGACCTTTGAAATCAAAAACAAAAATTGGTGCAGTGTGTTCTATTCACCTGATTTTCACTTATATGAACTTATCTAGTTATTTTATATTATTTGAGACTTATTATAAACTTATTACACCTTATTAAAACTTATTTTAATTGTAATTTGTATTGGGTAACCCATATCAAAAACTTAATTGAACTTAATTGAACTTAGGGTTTGTTCTGTTCACCTTATTGTCAATTATTTCAGTTCTAATAAGTTCAGAAAAGTTCAGTTAAGTTCATATCAGATGAGTTTAGATAAGTCCAGTTCAGGAAAAATAAGTTCTGATGAGAGTTGACCAAGTTCAAATTACAACTAAAATAAATTTTTAAAGTCTAATAAGTTCAGATAAGTTTAGGTAAGCTCAGACAAGTAAAATCAGGTGAATAGAACACACTCCTATTTGAACTTATCTGAACTCAACTGAACTTATTACACCTGAAATAAGTGAAAATAATACGGTGAACAAAACAGGCCATAAACCACCATTTCAAGAATATACCTTCTTAAAACTTATTTTAAATGTAACTAGATGGAAGCCCGTGCAATGCACGGTTTTTTCATCTAAGATTTTTAATTATTTGATTTATTGTATTTAATAATTTTAGACAAAATTACAAAAGTTTAATATTTATTTTTTTTACTATAATTTATAATGAATTTATTAAATACAAATAAATTGTAAATATGATATTTTTCCGTTATATAAAATATTTAATGAGAAATGATAAATTTTTAATAATTTAAATCCTAAATTATTATTCATTGTTTTACCATATCTTTTATTTCAATAGATATCTTTTATTTCGATTGAATCACCAACCTCGTCTACAACCAACCTAATACATCAATGGAAAAATTGAACCGTGAAATTCTAGCCAAACTGAAATTGATATAAATAAATCTTTACATTTATCTAAAATTAATCAATATATTTACCAATAAATGAAAAATTGTTGCGATATAAAATCAAATCTATGCATTGGAGTTTTTTCATCATCTCCAAAAATAACCAAAGTCATCCATATATTAAGTATACAACATCTAATCGTATGCCATTACATAAACAAATAATTGTTAAGTATCCTAAATAAATACAATGTAACTAATAATTACAAATATAAATTTAAACATAAGATTTTAGAAATTACCCGGACATTGTTGACCAAAAATAAAACATAAACATAAAATCATTGAGTATCCCAAATTAATACAATGTAAGTAATAATTAAAAATACTAATTTAAACATAGGATTTTAAAAATTAAGCTAAAAATTACCCGGCCATTGATGACCAAAAATTAACACAAAATTACTAACACAAAATTTGCTTGATGGGGTTTTTTATTGATACGAAATTTTGTTTGGTGTCGTATGATGTGTCAATTTATAATGGTAGGTATCACAAATTTTAATTTAATTATAATTAACGAACAATTTGTATTTCTTATCATAAATACTATCAAAATTTATCTTATAATGATAGGTATCAAACTTTATTATAAGCGTTTATCATTTAAATAATTTTTAGTATATTTTTTTTTTGGATTTCTTATACACGTAGTATTAAATTAATAAATTTATCTTTTCCTATATTTTTACTTTATTTTTTGTCCATTAAAATAATTTAATTCGTGGATTATAATCTACGTGGCATTAAAATTTTAGATATATCAAATCTAATTCGTTACTTTTATCTAGGTGGCGACATAATTTTTTAATTCAAAAATAAAATACAAATCTTTCTTCTTATTGGTCGAAATAAGTATATTTCTTATGTGGCGCTCCGAATGCTCTCCAAAAATGTCTACTTTATTTATATATATTAGATTTTAGATTTGTATTGGGTAACCCTTATCAGAACTTATTTTTCCTGAACTGAACTTATCTGAACTTATTACACCTGAAATAAGTGAAAATAAGGTGAACAGAACAGGCCCTAAACCACCATTTCAACAACATAACATTATTAATTGTTGTTTCAAATTAAATGATAATAAACCTTAAAATAATATAACTTTA